TCTCTTACCAGCTTTGCTCCCTTCCAAATGGCAGATCAGGGGAATTTTTGCCTTGCCAATAGGGCAGATATCATGAGAGCTGCTACAGTACCTTGCGGCAGTCAAGGGCATGCAGGATCTTCTCTGCCTAGTCTATGCCATGAAGATCTAATTCAACTGAAATGGGACTTTAAGGTGAAATTCTTGCTGTTTCTTCCACAGTAAATCCTCAACATTAGCAAGAGTCCCCACATTTGCAAATATCATTCTAAGATATTGCTTCTTGCACCAAAGTAAATCATAACTAAAAAATTAAGTGACCCCTTCAAATGTTTAATGACTCTATAAACAAAGTAGTAAAGTCTTTCAACATTCTAATTAAAATACATTGTTCTTGGGCGCCTGGGTGGCTCAGTTGGTTAAGCGACTGCCTTCGGCTCAGGTCATGATTCTGGAGTCCCGGGATCGAGTCCCACATCAGGCTCCCTACTCAGCAGGGAGTCTGCTTCTCCCTCTGACCCTCCTCCCTCTCATGCTCTCTGTCTCTCATTCTCTCTCTCACAAATAAATAAAATCTTAAAATATATATATATATATTGTTCTTGAGCCATATTTCTGTTGAGAATCATGTATTTCCTGGGCAAATCTTCACATCAAAGGTCAATGACTTCTCAAACTTATTCAAGTTTTGTCTTTTTGTTTATCAGCAACTCTGGCATAGGCAAGAGTATCCCTTCCGCAGTTTTAAGAATCACTCTTCACGGGGCACCTGAGTGGCTCAGTCGTTAAGCGTCTGCCTTCGGCTCAGGTCACGATCCCAGGGTCCTGGGATCGAGCCCTGCATCGGGCTCCCTGCTCCGCGGGAAGCCTGCTTCTCCCTCTCCCACCCTCCCCCCGCTTGTGTTCCCTCTCTTGCTGTGTCTCTGTCAAATAAATAAAAAAATCTTTAAAAAAAAAAAAAAAAAAGAATCACTCTTCACTTCTGACAACAATCTAGAGTGGGCTATTGCTTCACAGATGAGAGTCGCCATCAAATCCAACGTGCTGTTGTCTTCTGAAATGTCCACTCTCTGAGTAAGACCAGTCAGTCTTACACGCCTCTACTTCCTTCACCTGTTCTAATGGGTGGTTCTCTTTTCTGGGCCACTGAACACTAAGAAAAGTGACAAGAGTCACCATGTGACTTCAAGTAGAGAATTTAGAAGCTGTGTTCCGATGGCCAAGTTCAACTGCATCCCAGCTACCTCCAGCTTCATGCCCATCCTTCAGAGAGTAGGCTTCAAATTCTTACCTCAGAAAATTCACATGTGACTACATGTTTTGGACCTTCAGGGTTCCCTGGGAATATTAAATTCATTGGCCCTGGAGTTCTTCTGAATTTATGTTTTTTGCTTCTGAAGTTCCAGTGTTAACATATACCTGTTTTAATGATTTCAGGTTAGTTAGTAAATGTCTTGTACACATTTATCTGAATGCTCATTTGATCTCAGTACATTTGGATTAAACTATTTTTCTCCCTATAGAAATATACTTTCTCTGTGCATTAGGAGGCTGGATACTGCTGCTTTTTACAGACAACTTGGTGATTCAGCACCACCTAACACAGTGTCTGGCAAGCAGAGGAGACACAAGATCAGTGTCATTAATGACTGTCTTTCATAGTAGTTTAGAAATATTGAGATGATCTGATATGTATTCAGGCCATATATCCCAAATCTCAAGCCCCAATTCTGAATTCTGAATTACCAAGGAACCCCCTACTCAAACCACCAACAGGTCTTGAGGAAACAATCTTCAGTGTCCTCCACTCCATGTCTGAGTCAGGGATAAAATTATTAACCAAATAGCTTTAGACCTCTGATTTGTAGAGCCAAATGAACATGGTTAACTAGTAAACACATATCATAATATGTGTGATTTAATAAGCATAATGATTCAGTTGAATGAGTGGGTTAGCAAGGATTTTTGTTGTTGTTGCAAGTAATAGAAACCCAACAAACTAGCTTAAGTTAAAAAAGATGAAGGAGAAGGGTAGGTACCTAGGAGTTCTCATAACTGAGAGGACCTCAGTCTTCTGAAGATTCTTTCTTCCCATCTCTTGTTTCTCAGTGTCTCTGCTCATCTTCCTCCCTTGCTTCTCCTGTGGACAAGCTCTTTCCACACACAGAGCACCTCCACCTTGGCAGCCCCAGAAAAGGGAGAACACCTTTTTCTCTCCCATGACAGTCCCAGGGAAGGACTCCAAATGGTCCTGCTTGGGTCACATGCCCATTCCTTGAATCAAACACTGTTGCCAACAGGAAAAGATAATGTGATTGGCCAGGCGTGGGTCATGTGATTACTCATTTCACCCTATTTCCAGAAGTGTCGTGGGAAACTCTGGAATGCAGAAAAATATTTTTCCATGGCCCATTACACTAAACTCTCCAACAAAATAATCTTGGTAATAATGTGGGAAGATCAGCTATCCTGTGATTTAATATCTGTGAATGTGTATACTGCATCAAGCACTATTCTAAGTAGAAACAGACATATGCAAGGGTTGAAAAACTCTCCCCCTACATGCAAAATCTGTCTAAAATATCAGTGTAAAAAATATGTCACTCAACAATCAAATCCTATTGTCCGTGAACCCCATCAGTAGCAATTTCATCTTTTGGCTTATAGAATTGAAGCTGACGATTAACCAGATGATTTCTAAAGTCTCTTCTAGTCTCTGAGTCTATGAACTCTTTGTTAGAATCAAAATACCTCTGGAAGAATAGTATACCACGCTATTACTTTACTGGGCAGTGTTATGGGCTAAACTGTATCTTCCCCAAATTCATATGTTGAAGCTCTAATCTTTAGTACCTCAGAATATAATCTTATTTGGAGATAGAGTCTTTAAAGATTAAAATTAAATCAGGGCATTTGGGTGGGCTCTAATCCAATATGGCTGGTGTTTTTATAGGAAGAGGAGATTAGGACAAAGGTACACATAGAGGAAAGACCATGTGAGGACCCACGGAGAATGCGGACATGTACAAGCCAAGGAGAGCCTCAGAAAAATCCAACCGTGCCAAGGCCTTCATCTCGGACTTCTAGCCTCCTGAACTGTGAGAAAATAACTTTCATTGTTTAAGCTGCCCAATTTGTAGTACTTTGTTATTAGCAAATAATACACACAATAAACCAAGAATTTCAAAGAGGACTGAGGCACAGTGGAGACAAATTTGATACATGGGATGGGGGAGAAAAGAGGTTTTTTTAAGGTTCTTTTAAAAAGTAGAATTCCCCCTAAGACTCAGGGTCCAGTACTATGACATTGTTAACTGAGGTGTGCTGGTAAAGATGTGATAAAATAGGGAAGAAGTTAAGAGAAGGAAGGAGAGAGAAGTGCATGACAGACTTCACCCTTTTTGAAATTTTGCCAGGGCTAGGCATAGGGTGATTATATCAGGACATGACACTATGGTTGGCCAAGCTAAAGGCCACATACCCAACCTTGTGGGCCTGTGGGGAGCCGGATTCCTACATGACTTCAGGCTGCCTTGGGCTCCTAATGTGTGTCCCCACTGAGAACTTTGAAGCTCTAAGCATCCCGCCCTGACCTTAGGCTTTGAGAGCCAAATGCCTATCCACCTGGATCTAAAGGCTCACCAGCATAAGCTCTTAGCCATCATCACTCTTATTTATGATGCTCACTGTCAGAGCTTCCTGCTGAGCCAACCCTAAGTTTGTTAGGCCCGCCTTTCACATATGATAGGCCAGGTCCAGAAGTCCAAACCACAGTGAATCTGAACCTTCTGATTATAGTATTCTTACCCTACCAGTCCTCTACCTCCCCTGCCCCATACCTCATCACTCTCCTGCTAGAAACTCATCCCCCCATATCAAAACAGGAAAGCCAGCTCCTGGCCTCCTTCCTAAGCCTTCACCCACCCTGATGGATTTGCCTGGATCCTGTACCTGCATTACCCTGGCTCATTTATCATTTTGCTACTCTTGCCTTAGCTCTGACCTTTGCCCTCTAGCAAATCACCCAGGCACTGGGTGGTACTTAGAACCAGAACTCAAGACCCACCCCCCTGTGCTGCCAGGGTCGGTCAAATTAAAATTCCACCACAAAGCACAATGCACATTTGGAAAAACACATCCCTTCTTCAGAAACAGCCAACACAGCATACCTGCTACACAAAAACCTGACACCAAAGGGAAAATATTTTTGTTAAACAGACTGATTGCTAAATGAACAGGGTTTGTGAAAATCACATCTATTATATAGGACTTCTCAGTTCATAAGCCTCATAATATCAGATCATCATATTCGCAAGGCAGTGCTTGTAGGGCTGATAGGATGAAATCTGGAAATTGCTTCATTATTGACAATTACAAATGATATTTGCCAACAGGGAATGTCGCTTGCGTGTGCCTTCAGATAAAATTTCCGGCCACCATTGTTTATAGCCCAAATATATTAATATCACCATATAACAAATTCTAAAGAAGACAAATGAAATATTTAAATAACCCAAGCATTGTGGACCCACTGAATACTGCATTTTACCTTTACGTTCTTCTTTTTTTCTTTTTTAATCACCCGGAGACATTAAAAAAAAAAAAAAGCCTGATAACGTCAAAAGATGAGAAAGACTAAATTCAGGGAAATAAAGGAACCATAAATCAAGAAAACTTTGGAGCTGCTAGAAAGACACTTTAATTTTGTAGACAAAAGACTGCATTAAGGAGGAATAATGCAATAATCAAAGGTGAACGAATCTCTATTGTCTGGCGTCTTTCTCTGTGGGAATTTTCCCACCCCTGACAGCTGTAAAGGGGGGAGGAGCGCAGACTGTGGCTGTGCCTTTATTCTCTCCCCCGCTTGCTCCCCAGCCCCTCCTCTCCTCCGTCAATAAACGTCTGCAATCATATTCTTGAGCTCCTGTGTGATTTCAAGGTTCATCTCTTCCATGCAGCTCAAACACTAATTATCCCAGCTGTAATTAGTAAGATAATTAAATACTGGCTCACTCATCTACCTTGGGTCGGGTCATGATTCTCCCAGAAGACCTTGAGCAGTTCCTCAAAGCTGATGCGTTCTGGCTGGTACACCACTCGGACTACTTCGGCGTGGCCAGTTTTTCCTTGAAAGAAACAGAACGTACAACAAAAATTTACTGACACCAGCAATTTACTACAAGTGATCTGTTTCCAAAGAACCACCAGACAAGGGCTAACATCCTTCCCTCCACAGGAAGGGTGGGAGTCTAACTGTACGTTAGCTAACGATCTCATAGCAAGTCTGTCGCTGGCTCTGTCCCCATAAAAGCATACAGTTGTCCTCTGGCAAGCTTCCTGAGGATGATGACTTCTCGTCATTGGGCTCTAATTTTCTTCTTGAATTTCACGAGAAAACAAACCCGGGTTTTCTTTCTTTCTTACTTTTTTCTTTTTCTTTCTTTTTTTTTTTTTTTGATCTCACCCTTATGAAACCTTATGGATCTAATCTGACATAGCGCTCAAGGTTTGAAACTCGGTGAGGCGAACGAGCCAATTTATTTGTATCATCACTTCCTGCTAATATGCAGTAGGCGCAGCTGCACCACGGGGTGACATGGTGCCGGAGCGGGAAACTGTAACAAACAGGCTTATATCTCGTCCACATCAGATCAATTGGTTAACGGAGGGACATATTCGCCGTGCCGTTAACACGGGGGCAAGGGGTCGGGTTCACATAGCCAGCGGGGCGGCAAGTATTTTCTCAGCCTAATTCATCTCTGTGGTAAACAACGACCTCAGTGATGGTCTCTCCGTTAGCATGCCCATTCTCACAGGTGGTCCCCGAGGTTCTGTAGATCAGGGAAGTGGGTGTTTGTAGTAGCCCTTGTACCGACAGGATTCATGCCCTTCCTTATTTTACAGTGTTAGAATATAGTAAATAATAGAACCCTCCATACATATCATCTCTCTATTTAAATTTGTTTTCCATCTCTTTCCGGTCACCTTATGTGTGGTAAAGAATTTAGCTTTGCCCAAAGAGATATCTGCCTTGGTCTCTGGAAGGTAATCTGTGTCACACCTTATAGGAATGTCCTTCTTTAAGGCGGGCCGGCCACAGCAACAGTCTTAGGGTGGAAGCTGGCCCCTTGGAATCTTAGGGTCCGGATGGCCACACCCAACAGTGTTAGGATCAGGGCTGGCTATGCCAGACACACCAACCATGTGCTGAGACTGGGGGCTTTGGGTAATACAGAATCAGCTGACCTGAAGACTGAGTTCAACCAGGTGGGCAATCCCATCAATCATGCCTATGTAATGAAGCCCCAATAATAACTCTGAACCTCAAAGCATGGGGGAGCTTCCTGGTTGACAATACTCTTTGCATGTTGTCACAGATGGATGCCAGGAGGGTAACACATCCTGACTGCATGGGAGACAACACAGGAACTTGGCACTGGAACCCTTCCAAACTCTGCCCTATGTGTCTCTCCGGTTGGCTGATTTTGATTTGTATCCTCTCCCTGTGATAAACTGTACCTCTGAGGGTAACTGTTCTCAGTGAGTTCTGTGAGTCCTAAATGATCAGACCTCACAGTAGTTTGGGAATCCCTTGAACTTCACCTTAGTTTGCAATAGCGTTTGCCCATAGGTGGTGATCTCACTTTAATTCTCACAATGATTTTACTGATTGGAAAACTGAGATACTTAGAAGTTACATTTGCCCAAGGTCAAATGGAGCTAGTGAATTTCTGAACCATAACCTAAAAACCTTCTGGGTTTTTTTGTCCAGGAGTCTGTCCAATAAACAAAGCAAAGAAAGCAAAGTGAACATGAATCCAGAAAAGAAAAAAAAAATCTATTCATTATCTTTCGTCTTTTTTTAATATTTAATTTCTGATTGTAGAAATAATAATTTGCAAACAATATGAACCTTAAAAAATGTACAGAAGTATAAAAAAGAAAATAAAAATCACATATTATATTCTGACCACATATGGTAGGTACTATCAATATGTTTTACACATCACTTTCTGGATATGTACCAGATACACATGAGTGCACGTGTGTTCATACACACACACACACACACACACACACACACCATGCACAATTTGCTTTATTGTAATCATGGCATCATGCTTTTTTTCCACTTACCAGCATGTTGTATTTTCCCATATCACTGGAATTTTTAGGAAATGCCACTTATAATGACTATATAACACTCCAAAGATGGTTGTACTATTATTCAATCATCCCCTGTCATTGGGGTTTTACACTGAATCCTACTTTTATCTATCAGTGTAAATATCTTTCCACATTTCCAAGACTGCCTCAAGCCACAGTTACATAAGTGGGATTTCTAAATCAATGCTTACAAACATTTTTAAGTTTCTTTCTATCTAGTGCTTGGCTGCTATTCAGTAAAGTTGACCCAATTTTCTCTCCCCATTGGCAGCACGTTTCAGGGCCAGTCTCAGTCACTATTATAATGTTTTTAACTTTTACCAATTTATAGCGGGACAATAGTGTCCTATCATTTTATTTTCAATGAGTTTAGTTATTAGTAAGGTAAAAAAAAATGTCATGTTTATTAATTTTAATTTATTTGCTCTAAGTTTTGTAATACCCTTTTTATATTGGGTTATTCATATTTTAAATGAACTGGTCATTTTATATAATTTTAATTCAAAGATTACAGTCATGGAAGGAAGCAAATAAACAGATTTTATACTCACAGATATGAAAAGAATTATGGGAGAACTATGGGAGGAAGATACACTAAATATGAAAATCATGTTATTGTAAAACCACTTTTGAGCCCACTTTAAAATCTTATTATTTTGTATTTTGAAATGTTTGAATGAATGATTTAACAACATAAGAATTAAACTCTCTAAATATTACAATAGCAACAATATGTAACAAGCATAACAAATGTATTTGGTAAGAAAAGCATAGAAACCACATTAGAAATCTAGGCAAAAGATGTAAACAGGCAGTGCACATAGGAAGAAATAAATGTAAATCAAGATTGAAAAGTGCCCAACATTTCCAGTGATAAAAGCAAATAAAGGCATATTGAAACATGAACATACCATCTCTTATTACATTTTGTAAAACCACTTAAAAATGTATCTAGTGCTAATAAGGAGACTGTAACACTGGCAGTCTTACTTGGCTGGTGACAGCATAACCAACCATGCCCTTTCCAAGAGCCACAAAGATGAAAATTAACTTGCCTTCACTAAGTGACCCAGAAAATCTACCTCAAAGATACAACCCCAAATAATGGAAAAGATATGTACGTGCGAGAAAAAAAAAAAAAAATTTCACTCCATCATTACTACAATAGTGGAGTACTATAAGAAATCCAAAAGTCAAATAAAAAAGGAAACCAAGTATGGGATAGCCACATGATGAAGTATCATGTAACCATTAAAATGCAATGTCCTAACCCTAGTGAAAACTGTTACCATTCACTGAAGTCTGACAAAATGTGCAACCACTTTACTTCCTTGATGTTCTTTAACGCTCACAGCAAATTTTTTCCCAACTTTTTTCTATCGTGGAAAACACACATAACAAAATGTACCATCTTAACTATCTTTTAAGCATACGGTTTGGTGGCATTAAGTACATATCACCACCATCCATCTCCAGAACATTTTCATCTTGCAAAACTGAAACTGTATCCATCAAACACAAAGTCCTCATTTCTCTCCTACCCCCAACCCCAGGCGACCACCATTCTACTTCCGTCTCTGTGAATTTGACCACTCTGGGTACCTCATAAAAGTGAAATCATACAGTGTTTTTCACTCAGCATAACGTTCTCAGGGTTCACCCGTTATAGCGTGTGTGTCAGAATTTCCTCCCTTTTTAGGCTGAGTAATATTCCAGTGTGTGGACAGACCACATTGGGTGTATCCATTCATCTGTCAGTGGACATTTGGGTTTCATCTGTCAGTGGACATTTGGGTTGCTTCCACCTTTTGGCTACTGTGAATAACGCTACTATAAACACGGGCATACAAATATTTCTCACAACCATTTTACAAGAGAAGTGCAGCCCCCCTTTTAAAGATGAGGCAGCTAAGTCCTCTCCACAGGTTTTCTCACACAATATCTCACAACCAGTAAGTAGCAGGATCTAGTGAAGAGTCAATCAGTGAAGATCTCGTTCTATGACCACAGTGCAGGCTCCTGATTGTAGACCCCTGAAGCCACCAAGTGACAGCAAATGTCACATAGGCAGTGGCCCAGATGAGAAATCACAGCTGTGAGGTAATTGACATCCAGGCTGTCAAAACTATTTTCCCGGATTAGGCTCTTCTTTTGTGGTAACAATATGGGGTCAGGAAAGATTTCCGCAAACATTTTCAGACATAATCTGGGCACTGACATTATTTGTGGAGAGGTTTAAAGAAGCTTGGTTGTTTAAAAGAAACTACTACCATTAAAATTCAACATCCATCTGCATTGACAAACAGTGGGGAGAAGCCCTCGTCAAACTCACCTTTAAGTTTCTTTATTTTATTTCTCCAAAGTACAAGAGTCTGTGTAAAAATACACAGTGCAAATGATCAAAAGGATTAAGGGGCTAGGAACCACTTACAGAAATGCCCAGGCCTCCAGGAACTCACCAATGTGCTAGGCTAATTTGATTCCTGAGACCAATCTGCAAATACTTTCTGGTGCTTCCAGAGATAAAAGGCTATATCTTAAAAATACTTTGAGCTGTTTCTTCATGTAACATCGTGCAAATAGCATGATAGATGTGATGTGCAAACGTGCTTGTTAACAATGAGCAGCAGCGTTAGAGGTGTTTTAACACTCTTTTAACACTGTTGTTCAAAAAAATCTTGAAAGGAAATGAAAAGGACAAATGTCTTCTCTGAGCATTTCCCAGTGTGGCCTTACCCCGTGACCCCAAAGAAAGGTGAGTGGATGCAGAGGGGTAGGTTATGGGCAGTCCATTCCTTGTAAGACAAAATATCCCAGAAGAGATATAAAGGAGTGTCCTGGGCGCTGAAAAATCAGGCACTCCAGAGTCATCTAGAGCTTTGTGGGAGCCAAGTCATCTGTGGAACCAGGCATTTTCAAGGAGAACCCCAAAATAAATTAGCCTATCTTGAAAGTCCTA